AAGAACCGTATCCTGTAATAATTTCACTTTAACACTATTCTGTAATAATTTCACTTTAACATGATGCAAAAGGCCTACGCTTGTCTTTTTTTCCATAATTCTATTTTTTTGTTTTAAAAAGCCTGCAGAATCTTCCCTCAAAAGCTCCCACGCTTCTCGCTTCGCGAGAACACCTGAATCATTTAAGATAAGATCCAAAGCAAAGATAAAGAAATATTTCTAGCTTAAAAAAAGCGGCCACTTTTTGTGGGTGTTATTTGGTGTGTGTGTGTTTTTTTGTGTTTTAGGCGGGCCTAAACGGCGGGCAAGATTTTTTGTTTCGCAAGCGTTGCGGTGGTAAATTTCTGCCTTTAGGCGCAGAGCGCTTCGCTTAGGCTAGGTCCGTCTGATTCCGATAGGGCTTCGCAAGCGAACCAAAATAACGCTTGGCGTGTGAGCACACGGCTTGAGTTTGCATGCAAGCGAAACATGCTAGCAGCACTTTGCTTGCGAAAGACATAAGGTTGCATGCAAACTCACGCGTTGAAAGAATGAGTTTGTTTGCTTTGGTGCAAAAAACATTCAGCTCCGCACTCATAATAATGCAAGCAAGCGAAAGAATATGAAGCATTGGCGCTGGCATGCACATTTATTCTATGCATGCGGTGCATAGAATAAATGTGCTCATCAGGTCTAAGTTCAGACGCGAAGCGCTTTTGGCTTTCTTGCGCTAAAAACTCAGATGGAAGAATGGCGCGAAGCCATAAGACAAACTTTGAAATCAAAGTTTTAAATCAAATAAAGAAATTTTAGTACGGGTAAGCTTAACCTCTCACAAAGCAACTACTCCCCGCCTATCAAAGTGATGGTCTTTCACCCATAAAGAGAATTTGTCTTGAGTAGAGTTTCCCGCTTAGATGCTTTCAGCAGTTCTCTCTGACCAACGTAGCTACTCAGCGCTGCGACTGGCGTCACAACTGATACACCAGAGGTTGATTCAACCCGGTCCTCTCGTACTAGGGCCTAAATCTCTCAATTCTCATAAACCTACCAACGGTAGATAGGAACCGAACTGTCTCACGCGTTTAACTCTTATGTTTCCATAAGTAACGGACTATATCTTCATCTTTGCATACATCATATGTATAAAAAGAGTCGGCGTGTTATACGGTTTCTAATCAGAAACTGTATCCCCGATTTAGCTTAACTATTCTTCTCTCTATCGCGCACAGCTAATAGTAAGAAGTGCACCTTTGCTCTAAGAGTCATGGTGCGCTATAGCTAGATCGGAAGTCTCTACGGGGAATAGTGTTTTAAATTCAGAAGCAACTGTTTCAGAGGATATGGTTCTTTTTTTTGAATCATTTAATTCTCCGATTTGATCAGCTAAATTACACAAAAGAAGAAAATCTTCTTTACTTTGTGTTTTTCTTAAAGTCTTACAAATTTGTATAATCAAAAGAGCTTGACGACGTTTTAAATGAAGATAGGGTAATAATTGCTCACAAAGTACCAAAACATGAGAAGCTCCTACAATAGAGTATTCTGAAATCCCATCTTTGCGCTTTCGCAAAGATCCACAATTAAGGAGCTTAGAAAGTTTAAGTAAAAACCAATGTCTTTTTGTACTCTGATAAAAAGTAACACTAACTCTTATCTGAAAACGTAAACGATAGTCAGGGCGTTTTAGTTTTTGAGCATTAAAACACCCGTCTCCGTCTAAAAAACCAGCTAAATAAGCTTTTGATGTATCATTTGCATTAAGTAAATTTTTCATGTTGTTAACTATTCTTCCCTCGGTATTACCATGTGTATTCAAACAGTCAAGGCTTCACCGATATAAGCCGATGCTAAATAGTTGCTTACGCATCTATTAACGCAGTGTTTTAGTTTGTTCTACGTTCTAAACCCAACTCACGTCTTTTTGACTCTCTTATTTCTAAGAGCAAGGGACTTTATCTTTCCCCAAATAGTATCAGATACTTCTATTCTAAATCTTCGTTGTTGATCACGAATTTCCCTAATTTTTTGCAAACCTTCTAAACTTCGATGCTCTTCTCGTTCCATCATACGTAAAATCTCTTGGAATAAGAGAAAATCTATACATTTTCGAGATTGAAGAGTATTCTGTCTAAAGAAAGGTTCTACGTGTGATAGAAGTATTTTTAAAGAATTTATTCTTAAATGTTCAATATCTTTTGAAGAGGCCCAATGAAACTCGCCGTTAAAAAATTGTTGTCCAATTTGACCAAGGAGAATTCTATCTATATTTTTTTGGGCTAAATCAAAAGAAACTCGAACTTGAAAACCACAAATATAATCACTTTGCTTGTGCAAAGTCGTGAAAAAAGCTCCGTCACCATCAGTAAAACCCACTAGCCATTGCGGGTGAATAGGCGCGTTGTGGCAAAAAGGTTCTTCGTCAGGTTCCATAGGGAAACCGAAATGGTCATGTGCCCATTTTGAAAATTGATGTTTTTTTCTTGAAATAAGTTTATTTTTAAACAAAGGAATGATAACATCAGCTAATTGCTCCCTATTTTGAACGGTTAAAACGGCTGTATTCCTTTTATCAAACCTAACTGACCCAACTGTTAAAAAAGAAGCTATGGCCTCCATTAAGGTCCAGTCAGCTATATGTTGATAAATTTGAAACATTGGCCGCTCTCCCCTTTTCCCATAGAACCCGCCTTCGGCCTCCGTGAACCCTATTAACAAATCCGGAGTTATAGAATACGAAGTAATGGATAATCGTTTTTTTTGAAGTTCTTCAATCATATACATTGATACATTTTTTTTTGGGGATCTAACTTAAAGTCTCTGGGGGCGCGTCGCGACGCGCCCTGCGGATTTACCTACTTGGCATTCCCGCATATAGTTAAATAATAAGATTAAAATTCCTGTTCTTTTAATCACGGCAATGAGCTTACCACTTTCATCGGCGAACAACCGAACCCTTGGAACCTTCTTCAGCTCCAGGATGTGATGCATGTTAATCCTACGTTTCCGCAGGCATAGACTATATCATCATCTTGCACAGACGAAGTGCAAGAGTTTGGCGTATTATGAAATTTGTGGTTAGAAGAAGCGCTTAAGCGAAAAAGATAGGTTAGTTTAGGTTAAAGGCAAGAGTATCACTACTTTGGCTTAACCTAAACTAACCATTCCTACGGAAGTAAGTAGCTTCGCTACTGGGGGCTTAACCTAAAGTAACCTCCGGAACCTTTTTACTTTACTAAAGTAACCTCGCTTTTTTTAAAGTAAGCTCTTCGTGCCATTTCTTTCCATCTCATACTCTAAGAAATCTAAACAACGCACTTTTTTCAACGTTGATTAGATTTTCTTATTTCTTCAGTCGTTACACGGTTAAAAGAATTTATAAAGCATACTTGGTATCTCTGACTCAACCAGAGGTCGAATAACCTGACTAAATTTCTTTGCTTGTGAATGTTTACTTCCAATGGTTAGTATCAAATGGTTTCTTTGTTTGTGAAGTTTGCTTTTGACATCAAAATTTAGTTCGAGTGTATCTTTTAACATCTCAACTTCAACCATAGTAAAATTGTTTGTATGAAGTTTAAAAGCGCGACAATCAGTTTTCATAGAGCCATCATCTAGGTACCAAACAGCCAAAGCTAAACTAGAATGGAAAATTGATTTTATATCAGTGGGAACGATCTTTTTTCCCTTTTGATAAAAAAGTTCTCGATAAGTATTAAATAGAGGCAGTGTGTAAGTATAAAAACGTGCTTTTTTATAAGTCTTCTGAGTTCGTTTATCAAAAATAGTATATTTCGATATTGGACCCGAATAGGGTTGTAACATCTGATGTTTCCACTCTAGATACTCTAGTTGTGCTATACTATGATCAAAACGTGCACGGCAATTATTTCCATTATACTCTATGTGTGTATCACCTAATAAGCTTCCAATTAATAAATCTTCTTGTTTTGTTGTTAGCATATTTCATTCTTAAAACTTCGCACGGTATTGCCATAATGTAGTTGAGTATTACACTTTAGGGTTCACCGTTATAAGCCAAATTTGCAAAAGGGCTCACGCGCCTTATGGACCCAAATAACTTCAAGTCGACCAGTATTGTTATCATATAAGCTATTTATCTTATATATCTGCCCTTCACAGGGCAGCTCAGACTATGTCTTTTACTACTTGTTTTGCAATGGAAGTAACTAACACATAGATTGATCTATCTTTAAGTTATGCGAAAACAAATAGCAAACGGGCGCTCGTGGCCACCGATTGGTGGGGGAACTCCGACCGCTGTGCGCGTTTTCAACAAACGAGTTTCGCTGCGCACTTAGCCCAAATCACCGAGATATATTGCTGGCATGCTCATCTCCTAGTCGTTGAACGTTCTCATCAAATCCCATATGGGTGTTATGCACACATACTTCGTGCCTTGATGAGCTTCGCTGCAAGTTATCTCTTTTGTTCAGAAAGAGATGTTCTTGACAATTCACCCGTTTTATCCTCGACAATAGTTTGTTTTTCAAACCATCGAGGTGCCAAACGACTCCGTCGATATGAGCTCTTGGGAGTCATCAGCCTGTTCATTTTGTTATTGCTCGCTCTACTAGAAGACATAGGCGTTGCGCTTCTGCATCGCAACACTGATCTATGCTTGAGTAGGCAAGCTATCTGAATGTCACCATTCAGTTCAGACTATGTCATCTACTCTAAACTATACAAAAGAACTTTTCATTCTTTACTTATGTACATGTTGATGATATTTTATTTAGAGCAGTCGGGCGCTCGTGGGGAACTTATCGGTAAGAGATTCCTCATTCCCTAGTCGTTGAACGTTCTTGTTTACACCAGCTATTGTTAAGCATCTCTTTTTAACAAGCTTCGCTGCAAATTGAGACCGGCCTAAGTACGCTGCTTGCAGCTTACTTTAGTGTGGTCTTGTTTTTGCAATTCACCCGATTATTTATGGTATGTTGCGAATGATAGCAACACAGGTACGCTCTTTTATTTGTTACCAAAAAATGGGACAACAGTTTCATCCCCGGCGTACCTTTGATCCGTTGAGCGAGAGCCCTTCCGCACGGGACTCCCGGATCACTATGGCCGACTTTCGTCTCTGTTCGACTTGTAGGTCTCACAGTCAGGCAGGCTTATACCATTGCATTCCAAAGCTGGTATTTCCCCAGCTTGAGCCTACCTTCGCACGCCTCCGTTACTCTTTAGGCAATTGTGTTAATCGTAGACCACGCTTGCGTGGCAAAGGGAATTTATACATCATATCAGGAATCAAAAAAGGACCTAGTTGCTCTCGCAACCTTTCATAACTATGGCCGGAAACATAAATTTGGTAACCCTCTTTTTGCTTCCTAGGCCAACATTTGAGTTGAAATTTCAAGGTTAAGACGTCGCATAAAATACAGACTTCTTCAGTTGAAAACCCCTGTGTATTCAAAAGAACGCCCTTGCTTTGCTTTGATTTCATGGAGCCATCGTCCATAAACCAATAAGCCAAAGCACGAGGTGAAAGTAAGTTAGAAATAAGCGGGGGGACTCTTTTCTTTTTATCTATAGTTAATTGTTTTGCATAAAAAAAGAAGCATGAGTTCTAGTTTGGAAGCACCAGTGTATAGATTTATTCATAGAAGAAGAAGCTCGGATGACTTCACGTTTGCGCAAAGTAGCTCCAGGCATGAAAAAATTGCTGAAAGAATCAAAAAGATGTTGAATATAAGCTTTATGCTTATCACTTTGTTCTACTTTGATTCGACCTGGGCTTTCTACGACGTGAAAGGACAACTCCTCTTCAGAAAGGCCGGTTTGCGCCTTTGGTAGGCGCGAACCGGTTTTGGTGCCTTGCACTTCTAAATGGGCATCCCCTAAAAGTATACCTACAAGAATTTCTCGCTGGATTTCACTAAGCTTAAGTTGATTCATCTTTATATCCTGTTTTTTTTACGATTTCTTCTAATGCTCACCCAAAAGTTTTCCTTTTTGTGCTTTAGGTGTAGAAGACTTTCAGTTGCCTGAAAGTTCAGACTCTATCATTTTCTAAACTCTTGTCTTTCATAACCTTTGTTTAAGTTTAGAAACCCGGCGTGCAGTCGTTGAGGAGTCAATCGAATTTCGACGACTTCCCTGCTGATTGTCCTATATTGATAGGATGTTCCAGCATATAGCCAGGTTTTTCTTAGAAAATTGCTTATCTAAGCGCCCCTCCATTAAGGCGCCCGCCCCAGGCAAACTACCCACCATGCAGTGTCCTGCCTCAAAATGGCAGTTAGATATCCTCTGACGAAAGGGTGGTATTTCAAGGACGACAAAAGTCTCCCACCTATCCTACACATTCAATCAAGGCTATCACTGCAAAGTTATAGTAAAGGTGCACGGGGTCTTACCGTCTAGCCGCTGGTACTCCGCATCTTCACGGAGAATTCAATTTCACTGAGTCCATGTTGGAGACAGTAGGGCGATCGTTACCTCGCCAAATTAGTGGACTTTTTCTTCACCCTTGGCGCTGCGGGCTCTTCGCTGGCACGCGCTTGCGGTTAGAACACGTTAGCGTCAGGGGTGCTTGACATAAAGTCTCTGAGAATAATTCTACAACTCCTTTCTCGCTACGCAAGAAAGCCCTTTCCAAAGGAAAGTCCTTTCTCCCTACGGGAGAAAGCACTTTCGTCCTTCGAGTCTTGCTCAGTTGAAGCAGCATGCATTTTGCGTAAGTTCATAATACGCTCTAAACCCGATTCTGTTAAATGCTCTTTTTTCGCACAAATATACACTACATCACGAAATAATTCAAAATCTTTTTGTTTCTGAGTCAACAGAGGTCCATAAGATTCAAAAAAAGGTATGATTTTATTTACGCAATCAGCTATACCCACTACACGAAATTCTTGCATCAATTTGCGTGAATTCTTTATTCTGGCTTTGGTTATACTACCACAATGGAAAAACTTTGCTATGCCCTTAAGAATGTGGCTATCATCGATACTTTGAGATATCGAAAATGATGTAATTACACGATATCCTAATTTACTAGTTTTGTTTGGAGTTAATGTAACATAAAAACAACCTTCCGCGTCCGAACATCCGACAATCCAGTGGGGATCCAGTTCTGGCGGCTTTTGCTCTACCATTGCTTGGCACTTATTCTCATTGATATTCATATCAGACAACGCCCAAGCGGTTTTGTTAAGTTGACTTAACTTGCTTACTTGAGAACACAATTGACATATAGTCATAAGTTCTTTTTGGCGGCTGTTGTGGTTATGGTATTTGGAAAAAAAAGCACAAAGTTGCAAGCAATCTTGTAAACTATTCACTCTAAAGTACACTATTTTTCGTGGTTTCGTATCAAAACAGACTAAGCCACAATTAAAAAAATCACGCAATCTTCGAATAAGGCTTTCTTCTCTGGCATGCTGAGCCAAACTAAAACATATACGAATACGCTTATTGTGCTTGTTGTTAACTTCGGTTGAAGTCTTGGCAGCCGCTTGTCGGTGCAGCGAGAAACTCATTTCACCCGCACAGAAACCGGCTACCCAATAAGGATTCAATGGTTTGCAAATTTTCATCTTGTGTTGTTTAATTATTCTGCGGATTGACTTGCTTTTTGCAGCAAGTTTTTCCCGCATATAGTCAAGTTCTATTGTGTTTTATCAACTAGAATCGCTTTCAGAGAGCAACTAGCCCTCCTTTCTCGCTACGCAAGAAAGCCCTTTCGTCCTTGGTACCTCTTTCAGAGGCGCGGCCCTGCACCAAATTTTTCTTACGAAAAATGATGGCATAACGATCTTTGTTTACCATTCATGCAGGTCGCTACTTATGCGACAAGGAATTTCGCTTGACAAAGTTATTCGCTAAATTAAATAAAATCTATTTTATTTATAAATTACTATTTGATTTAGTGACTTCTTTTGTTTGCACAAAAGTCCGGACCTTATCTTCTACTTGTATTGTTTTATAATAATTCATCCGCTTTTTCAATAAAATTATCTCATTTAACCAAAAATCACTCTTGTCTTTAGGCCCCTTCTTTTGAATATTCAAAATATTCAAAATACGCGCAAAAATAGAAAGACATAATCTTTTTTTTGTTCGTAATCTGTGATATTTGTCCTGAAAATAAAATAAGGGCAATAATTTTTTAAGAAGATCTTCACGCTTTGATATTTGAAAAATGACAATTCCACTCTTACGCTGATAGACACAACCACACTTTAAAAAAGCTTTAATTCTAAAACAAAGATCCTCATCTTTTTTATCTATACCTATTAAAAATTGAGGTTTTACGCTTTTATTTACAATAGATATGGTAAAACAAGATTCTCCATCACTAAAACCAATAAACCATTCTACACGTTGATTTCGGTTTGGTTTTGAAGTGTTATAGAATTGGTTTTTTAGCGAGTTTCGCTCGTTAGCAAAAGAATTGTAACTGGAACGATTTTTTTGTGCTTGAACAGCATGTCGAAATAGAAGCCAATCAAAATATTTGTTAGATTGAAGAGTATATTTTTCGAAAAAAGGAATAATTTTCTCAGAAATATCATCAAGATTGCCTACAGTGTATGCGTACATATTACCACCAGCGCGGTTTACATGTCCAACGCCAAAAAACTGTTGGACATTATGTAAAGAATGAATAGAACGTGCATTTTGTGAAATAATAAAACGGCATCGAATACTGTTTCGTGATTGAATAACACTGAAGTGACCGTCAGCATCAGTAAATCCGACAATCCAGTCAGGTTCGCATTTTAGTTGAAATTTCATGGTTTGTTATTAAAAAAGAAGTTTGTTATTAAAAAAAACAAGAAGCCTCACGTAAGGTCTCTGAGGAGCCTTAAAAAAAAATGACGATCCATCTTGCTTGCGAGGGAAATCAAATCTTTATAAGTTTCCTGCGGGTTGACTCCTTGCTGTCCCATTTTTACGTTTTAGTGTACGTAGGGCACAGGTCATACTAACCTGTCTAGTCAGCTACGGTTTAAGCTGCAGTTAGAACGGAGTTATTCTCGCATATGGTGAGGTTTGATATTCTATCTTGCCATAGAAGTAAGGCAGCGTAGGCGTTTTATTTAACTTTCTTCTTTCTTTTTTTAATATGTTGTGTGACCTTGAGAATAAGTTGGACCTGTTCTGATTTTGAAAATTATCTTTTTTATTTCTATAAGAAAACTTCCTTATCCTTCAACAAAGCCACATAGACAATCAGGTGCACAGCACTTCATATTCACGTTGGGATTACCGAAAAGCTAAATAAAAGCAAATAAATTCACCTTAGAACCGTTAGCAATGAAGTTACTTATGTTTAAACATAAGTGTGCTTTATGTTACCACAAAGTTCAGACTATTTCTTTGACTCTTGACAAGCAAGGCAGGAGCCATCCGACATGTAGTCGTTGCGGCAAGCTTTCGTGCATTAGCATAAATCGATCTTGCCTAAAGATTTTCATGCTGTTGTTCAGCAAGAGATCCCTTTATTGAGTCGGATTGTATCAAAATGTATTACTACACATCTAACCCTTACGAGTTACGGCTGCCGTTTACTGGGGCTTCGATTCAAAGCTGTTAAGACTTCTCCTGTTCACCTTCCAGCACCGGGCAGGTGTCAGACCCTATACATCGTGTTACCACTTAGCAGAGTCCTGTGTTTTTATTAAACAGTCGTCCTTTTATTTCTACTATAAAAACTCCTTATGAACATGTCTTTTGGCCTAGCCGGTCGACTTGGAGTAAGTATCATGGACTTTATCATAAGCAATCGCCAGGGATTGTCTTTTTCCACCTAGAGTCTCTGAGGAAGTACCTTACGTCCTCACACAAAATCAACATTAGGAATCTATCAAATCTTTTTCTTATAGGACCCGCGTTTTCGGCCTAATCTAGCTTGTCGTATTTTCTCTCGTGTTTCGGGAGACAGTGACTTGCCTTTGCGACTCTCTCGCATTTTTTTGCGAATCAATTCGTAACTTGGGTCTCGCATATGCGCTTGTCGTGCAGCACTAATTTTAGCAGACGTTTCGTCCGACAATCTATAAGCATGCCTTGTTCGATCAATTTGGGCATCTTGAGGAAAACGCAACAGACCCTCTTCAGACCATACAAGTCTATTTAAGTTATAAAAAGGCAAAAGAATATCTAAATAATATTGTTCTCGTTTCAGCAAGTGAGCTTTAACTAGAACATGCTCTAG